CGAGGTTGTACCAAAGTGAGAGTAGTTCCACAAACCGAGCATGAACCACCGCTCTACCACCGCTTAGGGGACTACTTGGACACTTGTGAGTGGTCTTTCCAGAACTCTGCATGGAGGACCGAGGACAGCTGCTGCCTATGCCACGAGCGAGCAAAATAAGGTGTGACGAGCCAGAAGGTGGCTTCCCAAGGAAGGAGACAACCAAGCGTCAGAGGGCGCAGACAAGTAGCGCGCATGGCTATAGATAGGCGTATGAATGGTCGGGCGGCTTGCGTCTTCATGCTTTCTCCTGTGAAGCAAGCAACGGCACATGGATAAAAGTAATCTCAGTCCATTTCGGAGCACTTCCAAGTGATGGAAGTGGCACTATTTACTAACCCCGTTCCCTTTCACCAAGCAAATGACAGGGATCAGATACCCGAAGAGAGCTTACAGCTTACGAACAATGAGGACATTCCCTGCTGGCTTTCTACTGAGGCCTGCTAATAGCTCAACATGCAAAAGCTGGGAAGTTTGTAGACTAGCGTGGTTAGTTTCTACGGGCTAATCCTACGATGAATTATCGAATCATCACTTATCGTAACGATTCCTTGTGTAACGAACGTATGTACTTCAATTCGTGAATTTGTCTCATGCAGTCCAGTAACGATGTCACGCTGTCGATGGTGAAACATGGATCTGAAAACTATCTTTTTTGAAGAATAATCAGTAGTCAAGCGATTCATCGAGAACTGAGAGAGATGCACTCACCAATACGAAGTGAAGCACAGTGAGGAGCTTTGGACACCAACGACAGCGCATCAATGTCACAAGCGCTCTCATAGATGCCGAGCTGAAAAGAAGCACCTCATAAAAAATCCAACTTATAGCCAAAAATAGAAATTATTTGGCCTTCGCTACGATTTTCAATGGGTAATTAGTAATGAATAATTTCAATGCTAAACCATAGAAATGGTGCTCAAGAAGCTGAAGAGAACTCAAGAAAATAGAAGTTGAACCACTGACCATTTGAACAGTGAGGAACCACCAGTCAGGAATACATCCAGAGCAGTCCTGAGCTCATTTCTAGTAGCGCTGATGTTCAGCTTCTTGGGCGCATAAATCCAAATGCAGTCGAAAAGTTCCTCATACTTCGCCACTTTTACCGTTGAAACGCTCTGAAAAACAGTTTTCTTTATGTGTGCGAGTGAGTTTTGCTCGTTTCTTCATTTAGTGGGGAGCGGTGGAGAAATCTAGAGCTTATTTGCATTTCAGAGAGTAATCATACATTTTCTGACCCAACTACGACCCGCGCAGAGTTTTTATTTCATTTATAATAAGAATTCCGTAATGACCCTGTGGGCGCAGACAGGCTAACACCTTACTCTTTCCTACTGCTTGGTCACTCCAGAAAAATGGATGTGAATGGATACGAATGTGACATCCGTTTTTCATGGCCAATGCTATTAAGCGTTCTTCTAAGGCTGAGTCCAAAAGGAGAAAAGGTTTCCTTCCCTAAGGAGCCTCTGCAAAGAGTAGACGACCTTAGTGCCCTCTGTTAGCGCCGGGGCCAAAAAAGGCTGTAATACCCGTGATTAGAAAACCAAATAACCTTGCTATGCCAGTTTATTTCGATTTTGATAAAGAAAAGCGGAGACGTCCAATCGGCCAATTGGCGCCGACACAATTCTGTTGGCAAATGTCTTTGCCACCAAGAATGAAGGCTATCTCTAATTAGATTGCCAAAAAAGCCTAGTGTGGATGCGATTTTGGTGAGAGAAGTGGTGTTCTCAAACCGGCGCTTATTGGCGCCAAAAATGGCTGTTATTCATTGTCAGGTCGTCGATAATTCCCTATAGGCAAAGTCTGAGCAAAAAAAATTGAACCCGGAGGTTATTCTTGGGTTGTAATAATTGATGGTGCCAATGATCTTATTGTTTTTGAACCACGTCTGACAGGTGTCCTTCCTCATGCGCTCATTAAGTGCCCTGGTAATCCTTCAATACACGCACTTTCTTTCAGGCCTGTGAATGACTAGTGCCAGTACCGGTGTACTTCTGTTTGTTAGTGAAATGAATGAACGATGACAGTGGCCTCGCTATTATCAACAAAGGAAGGATGGTAAGTCGAGCTATGAACCTGCTTTCCTTATATGTTGGCTTACAAGCGAGACGATTGCCTCAACAATTATAGGAAGGGTTTTTGAATATTGTAAAGGCACAGCCAATGTGAACAAGAGAGTCAATAGTATGCAGTGGCTGACTTCAGATACAGCACATATCGTCGTGGTCAATCAGGGCGGTGTCAAGAAGCGCGGAATAAGCCTGCCCAGCTCTCTTTTCTACAAATAGAGACCAGTTACTATTAGGTTCGCTAATAAGTAATGACGGTTTTTTTTCAATTGAAAAATTTGTTCGAAAAGTGAAAC